TTGCCCAGGGTCACACAGCTAGTAAGTTTTAAGTGTTTGGTCTGATGCCAAATTTGAACTCAGGTCCTCCTGACTTCAGGGCCAGTGCTCTATCCACTGCACCACGTAGCTGCCTCTTGAACCCAAGTCTTAATTACAAGCCCAGCACTTTATTCACTATAGACAACTGCCACACACCAGGCAACCTCTGATATAGAATTATTATACAAACAGGGATGCAGAGATCAGCAGTTTAAAATATCATGCACATATTTATTACTGAACCAAAAAGGTCACGAGCAGTCTCTACAACAATGAGTTTCTTTATGTCTGTCCCTTAGCAGGCAGCTTCCAAAATGGGAGAGTCGTGGCATTTACTTCTTATCAGGGGTGGTGCCATGGCGAGGTGTTTGGACTTGGTACAAAATAAATGTGAGCATCATAATGTTGGCAATTCTTTATGAATCTCGCTCCATCCTTCTCCAGAGCCTCTTCTTGGAGCCACATCTAGACTTATGGACACATTTCATGAGAACCAACTGAAAAATGAGACAATTTTGCTTTGACTTCTTTGCAAAAAACCTCTTGATCTTAGACGTCTTGTGGGAAGACACAGCGAAGTGGCTGCTGCTAGGCCTCTGCATCAGCCTTCTGACTGGTGTCATTACCTCAGATCTTTTTCCACTCCAGGCCATATTCCATATAACTGTCAGAGTGATTTTCTTTCTTTCTTTCTTTCTTTCTTTCTTTCTTTCTTTCTTTCTTTCTTTTCTTCTTTCTTTCTTTCTTTCTTTTTTTTTTTTTTCTTTCTTTCTTTCTTTCTTTCTTTCTTTCTTTCTTTCTTTCTTTCTTTTTCTTTTTCTTTCTTTCTTTCTTTCCTTTTTTGGATGAGGTAATTGGGATTAAGTGACTTGCCCAGAGTCATACAGCTTGTAAGTGTTATGTGTCTGTGGCTGGATTTGAATTCAGGTCCTCCTGACTCCAGGGCCGGTGCTCTATCCACTGTACCACCTAGCTGCCCCCACCATGATTTTCTTAAAGCACAGATCTCATCCTTCCTCCCTGATAAATAAGCTCCAATAGCTTATTTACCTACAGTATCAGATGTAAAATCCTCTGTTTGACATTGTATGTCCTTCACGACCTGACCTTTTTCTACCTTTTCAGTCTTCTTACACTTTACATCCCTCCATGCACCCTCTGATCTAGCTACACTGACCTACTTTCTAGTCCTAGAACACAGCACCCCATTTCCTAGCCCTAAGCTTTTGCAAAGACTATTTCTCGTGCCCGGAGTGTTTCCCTTCCTTACTTCTACCTCTTAGCTTTCCTGACCTCCTTTACAACTCAGCTCAAATCCTAACTCCTAGAGGAAGCCTTTCCCAATTCCCAACTGCTAGAACCTTCCCTCTCTGAAATTACCTTCCCCAAACTCCATCTATATCTTATAGATGCCTAATTGCTTAAAAGCTATTTCTGCCTTTAGTGTGGGAGCTTCTTGCTTGGTGGACTGAGTTCTGGCCCAAGAGTTAGGAAGTTCAAATCCCAGCTCAGACAATTATTGCATGACCCTGAGCAAGTCATTTAATCTCGGTTTGCCTAACTTTCCTCAACTGTAAAACAGGGGTAATATTAGTACTTCCCTTCTGAAGTTGTGAAGATCAGATGAAATAATATTTGTAAAGCACCTAGCACAGTGCCTGGCACTTAGTAGGTACTATATAAATGCTAGTTATTAATCATTATTAGTATTATTATTATTATCGTTGTTATGATTGTTTTGCTTTTTTATATATCCCCAAAGCCTAGCATAGTCCCTGGCACATAGTAGGTGCTAAATAAATGTTTGTTGATTGATAATCAATTGATAAACCTCCCAAATCTTTTTAACTTGAAGTATAATCTAATCATGCCTTTTCATCAAGTACTTATGAAGCTGATTTTTGAAACCCTCAGATGTATAATTTTATTTATTACCATTCAATTTCATTTTATTAGATCTGACTTCCATTAAAGCCATACTCCAATATACATTATGGTGTGGAGGTGACTCTGGCTTCTTGAGAATTGTGCCAGTGGAGTAGACATAAGTCTCATCAAGACAGGAAAGTTTTTGAAAAGGGACTCGTTGATGGATCAATTTTATGTCTACAGCCTGAGAACTAGTCCAGCTAATTTTTATAGAATTTTTAAAAATTCTGAACTTAACAAATGTCAAATAAAATTAGCATCTTCATATATGTATAAAGAACAGAAAAAAGAGAATTGTACATGAAATTGCAAAATTCTATTATGTTCAACTTGCTTTTATTTTAAAATATATAATAAATTCAACATGTAACTTTCACAAAGCTGTTCACTTATCTGTGACTCTTTCTGGCCTTCTTCTCCTTCTCTTCTGTTCTTTTTAAACAATTCTGCAACAAGCCTCTTTTTTTTGGAGGGGGGGGCTAGGCAATGGGGTTAAGAGTCACACAGCCAGTAAGTGTCAAGTATGTGAGGCCATATTTGAACTCGGCTCCTCCTGACTCCAGGGCTGATGCTCTATCCACTACACCACCTAGCTGCCCCAAAGCCTCTTTTCTTTTTTTCCTTTCTTCAAAAAAAAGGCCAAGGTCACCACTGTATCCTGGGCCATCGCCAGTCATCTTGACTTTCATCTTGCCACTGAACTCTCATGATTCTTTAGGAAAGAGTGAGGCTGATAAGACATCATCCTCCTGATATCATTGGTCCTCTTTGAGAATGAAGGACAAACAACAATTTCCTTTCCTAATTCTAGTGACTTCCCTCTATTGATTATCTCTAATTTGTTCATTGTCTAGCTTGTTTGTACGAGGTGGTCTGCTTGCTGTCTCCACCTTTAGACCATGAGCTCCTTGAAAGCAGGACTATTTTTTGCCTTTTCTTTATATTTCCAGCACTAAGTACAACATCTGGAACATAGCAGGTGCTTAATAAATGTTTATTGACTGATTGACCTTTTTTTTTTTTTTGCTATGGTATCCCTAATCCTCCCCTTCTCAGGCCCCTATCTGCAAATTTAAAATAAAAACAAAAGCCTTACAACAAATACACATCGTTAAGCAAGCTATATTCCTACAATGGCTCTGTCTGAAAATTTATGTCTTATTTTGCATCTCAGGTCCTTCACATCTTTGTCAGGAGGTGGATAGTATGCCTTATGATCAGTCCTCTGGAAACTCTGTTGGTCATTGCATTGATCAGAGTTCTTAAGTTTTTCAAAGCTGTTTACCTTAATCATATTGTAGTCATTGTATAAATTGTTCTTCTGGTTCTGTCATTTTACTCTTCATGAGGTCATTCAAATCTCAGGTTTCTCTGAAACTTTTCCTTTCGCCATTTCTTACAGCATGGTAGTTTTCTACTACATTCATATACCATAATTTGTTCAGCCATTACCCTATTGATGGGGACCTCTTTAGTTTACAATTCTTTTCTACAACAAAAAGAGCTACCATGAATATTTTTGTGCATATGAGGTCCCCTTTCATCTTTCTTTGATCTCTTTGGGTATAGGCCTAAGAATGACACTGAGTCGTTTAGTTACATTTGGAGCATACTTCTAAATTCAGTTTAAGGATGGATGGGAGGGAGACAGAATTTGGAGCTTAAACTTCTGAAAAATGAATGTCAAAAATAAAGAAAAAAGAAATTCAGTTTAGCTACCTTTAGATGAGTCCATCACTAGGTTTGCTATAGAGCAATAAATTTGGGGCCACAACATCTCTCAAAGACTACTAATTTACACATTACCTCATGGAGGGAATATCAATAGCGATGAAATTACAGATTCGGTATAGAAGAAAAAGCAGATTTGACCCATTGTGTTGTTTAGATCTCTCTGGATATTGACTGTCAACAGACGTATTCGCTATTTCAGTTTAAGACATTGGCAAATTTGACAAAAATGACATATAGGGCCTCATCCAAGCCACTGATAAAAAAGAAAGTTGAGTGTCATAAGATCAAGATCTCCGGGGTCCTTCCTCTCTATAGATTTCCTTCTAAGTTGCCAGAGGCCCATTAATGATTACACTTTCGGTTTGGTTGTTCAACCAGTCCTGCATTCACCTCCTTAGTTTCTTTTAGGTCAGATCTCTACAAATTGTTCAGAAGTGTAATTTGAGAGATTTTGCCATGCACCCTAGTCCTTTTCAAATTCTCCTAGACCTCTTTGTCTTTCCTCCTCTTCACTCCCTACCTTTTATTATATTCATCTGTGCACATGTCCTATGCCCCAAGTAGAATGTAAAATCTTTGAGAAAAAGACTTTCATTTCTGCCTTTTTCTCCCCAGCGCCTAGCACAGTGCCTCCTACTCAGTAGTGTTTATCAAACCGAATTGCCGTAATCGAGGTAGATTATGCCTAACAGCATTCCCTTGATCTACCCGTCTAGTTACTTTGTCAAAAAAGGAAATGAGGTTAGTCTGGCATGACCTGTTCTTGATGGTGTCTTTTACCTTTTAACTGTTTATTTTTCTCACAAACCATCCCTTTAATAACACTTAAGGAAACTGAGGACCAGAAAGGGAAGTGATTTGCCCAAAGTCACACAGCCAGTTATTGGCAGAGCCGGAATGAGCAAGCAACTCTCCTAACGGCGCGGTTTAGTCTTTTAAGGCACTGTCTCTGTATAACCTAAGAATAAAACAAGCACAGTAAAGTGGAAAGAATGGTTTGGGAATCAGAAGATGCGGCATTTGTTAAATATTAAGAACCATGCAGAGGGTTTAGAGCTGAAAGGGACCTTAGAAATCACCCAGTGCAAAAGCCTCATTTTCTAACTAGAGAAACTGAGGCCCTTAGGGAAGGAACTTGCTCAAGGTCATACAAGTAATAAAGGGCAGAGTTAGAATTCGAACCCAGGGTGCCTCTAAATGTAAATCTAGCGCCCTTTCCGCTGTACCATGATGACCAAAAATATTGTTTTCCTTCCCATATTGTGTGCTTGATAAATTTGTTTCAAAACTGACATCGGGTACGTTCTCGTTTTCAGGCTGGAAGCTGCGACACTCAACCGCTTGCGATACTGAAAATAGGGCAACTACCCGCAGACCTGTCCAAGCCCACTGTCCCTCCGCCCACCCGCTCTCAGTCTACCCGACCAATCAGAGGCCCGAGCGACTGGGCAGCCCCAATCAGAGGTCGCCTCAGCACAGCCAATCACAAAGCTTAGAGCCTGGAGGCCCAGGAGGCGCCTCGGGGAGGGGCCAACCAAAGGACTGAGGAGGAGAAAAAGGACAAATCCAATCAGCGACTCCCTCCTATTCCCTGCCTGGGGGCGGAGCGCGGGCTCTCCGTGTCGGCCAATGAGCGCAGAGGGGGGAGGGGCGCGCTCTCCGGTGTGGGCGGGGCAGGAGGGTGGGGGAAGGCGGGGGCTTGTCAAGCGCAGCGTAGCGGGTCTGCAAGAAGCCGGGTGAGGGGCTGCTTTTTTTTTTAGGCCAGGTCGGGGTGGGGGCAGCGCGAGCACCTTATCGCTGGGGACTGGAGGTCCAGGGAGGGTTCGTGCGGGGCTGGAGGGCGCAGCGATGGGGGCGCGCAGAGCGGCATATTCTCGGGGTGCAATGGAGAGAGTCAGGGTCGTGCCGGACCTCAGAAATCGACCCTCCGGAATGCGACATATTGAGAGAGGTTGGGGGCGGGGGGCTTTTCACGAAGGCGAAGACCTGGGGAGGCTCAGAATCCTGCCCGGCGACTGTCGGGGACTGGGGTGGAGGAGGATGGGGGGGCGGAAGGAGGGGGTGGGAAGCTTCGTTGCCATGGCAGCGGATGTATGGAAACCAGGAAGGCCCCATCACCCCATCCTCCTCCTTTCCCTACGCCTCACCATCCATCCCTCCGTGCATGTCACCCAGGCCCCCCTGGCCTTAGTGCACCAGGTTGGGGCCGGCTCTGGAATGACTGGATTTGGCATCTTCCGCTGTCTCTGACCCCGCCATCCATCCCTCCATCTCTACATCCTTTCCTCCCGTGCCTCCATCACTCCTTCCTCCTTCCCCTGCCCCCATCTCTTCCTTTCGTCAGCTGAGGCTCCCACTCTCCTGCTTCTTTTCCTGTGTAAGTTCGGGGGACAGAGAGGCTGAGGAGCCTTGCACGAGTGTTTTTGGTAGAACTCTCCTCTGCCTCTGCTCGGCCATGTTGGAAGCTAGCTGTCCTCTCCCCCTCCCTCTTTCTATCCACCTCCCTCCCTCTCTCTCTCTTCCTTTCTCTTTTCCTCTCCTCCCTCTCCCTTTTTCCTCCCTCCTTCTCCTTCTCTTTCTCTCCTCTGCCTCTCTCCCCCCTTCCCCCTCTTTTTTTTCTCTTCCCCCCATCCCCTCCCTCTTTCTCTCTCTCTTAGAGATATAGAGATGTTGCTGCGGCAGGAAAGGTCTGAACTGTACCTCAGAGAGTTGATTTTTGTGTAGAGCATGAGTAAACTGTGGCCAAATTGGTGAAATAAACAATTAAAATAAGGCAGCTGGGCAGGGTGTCCATAAGGTATTGAGCTTTAGTGGCTGAAAACTGCATTTTGGGACAACCTAGGCTGCAGTGGCGCAGTGGAAATAACAGGACTTAGTGTCAGAACTAGGTTTCCAAAGACGACTGCCGTTAGGTCATCTCTTTAAGTTTTACAATCTATGATTATGAACTCCACGAGGTGCCTTGTGAATCAAGGTAAGAGAAGAAAGCTTTTTCAGTATAAATAGCTACTTGTTTTGTCCAAACTTTGTAGCTTTCTCATATCTAGCACAATGTTCATTATACAGTAGCCTCCTAATACGAAGTGTTCCAAAAGTCTTAGTGCAGTGATTTAAGCTATTAAAGCTTTAAGCTTTAATTAATTTTTAAGCAATCAAAGCTTAAAATAATGCACTAAAACTTTTGGAACCCTGTATTTCTTAAATAAGGAGTACAAGCAAGTGTAAGGCAGAGGCCTTCCCCATAAATAATTTACACTCTTTTGGGAGTCAAGACAAATGTGTTAAAAATGAAATGATAAAAGATTAAAGTGATAATTCAGTGTAATAGAAGAGATGTTACAAGATGGTTTATAATTAATTGCTAACAACCACACAAAAAGTAATTAATATGAAAGTTCAGAAGAGGGAAATATTTAGTCTGTAGCTATTATTGAGGGATTGGAGCATCACTTGTTTTTTGATGGATAGGTTTGATTTAGATAGTAAAAAAGAAAGGGTGGGCATTCCAGACAGGTGGAGCATCACCCTCTTACTTAACTCATTTTGTTTTCCAGGGTTGAATTTCTATTGAGTCTCTGAGTCATTTATACTGAAAAAGGCTTTCTTCTCTCACCATGATTCACAGCCTGTTCTTGATCAACTCCTCTGGGGATATTTTTCTAGAAAAGCACTGGAAAAGTGTGGTTAGTCGTTCTGTTTGTGATTACTTTTTTGAGGCCCAGGAGAGAGCTACTGAGGCAGAAAACGTGCCTCCTGTGATTCCTACTCCTCATCACTATCTCCTAAGTGTTTATCGCCACAAGATCTTTTTTGTGGCTGTGATCCAGACAGAGGTGCCACCGCTTTTTGTCATTGAGTTCCTTCATCGTGTGGTAGACACATTCCAGGTGGGTAAATCAGGAGAAGACTTACTTGTAATGTCTTTTAAAATTTTACAGTTGAACGGTTGTGTTCACCTTTAGCAATATGTGATGAGGGAGGTGTCTTCCCAAGGGTCTTGCTATTCAGTTCAATAGAAAAGTAGCCTCATAGCTGATGAAAATTATGTGCTAGTGTGACTTTTAATCAACTACTTTTTTTTTATACACTTTTTTTTCTTTTTTTGGGCTAGGCAGTGGGGTTAAGTGACTTGCCCAGGGTCACATAGCTAGTAAGTGTTAGGTGTCTGAGGCTGGATTTGAACTCAGGTAGTCCTGACTCCAGGGCGGGTGCTCTATCCACTGCGCCACCTAGCTGCCCCCAACTACTTCTAAAATGATAAACTGAGTACCTTTTGGATAGGAAGAACTATTACAGTCTCTCAAAGTTGGACACTGTTATCAAATACCATGTAGTACTACCTGTCCTTGACCAGATATACTTGGATGATACCAGAGTTGCTGGTTCACAGCCCTTTCAGGTCTGGTGACTAGTTTAAACTCCATTTTCCTTCATAAGCTAGATGATTAGAAATATCGTCTTACAGTATAGTTCTTTGTTGATATTAACTACAGTAATAAAGTCCTTTGAGTTATATCAAAATACGATAACTATGGAGGATTGTTAAAGAGAAAGGGAACAAGCTAAGTTAATGTTTTTTATTGACAAATTTTGTTTCATGCAGCAGCCTTCACAAACAAATCACCAACAAGGTATATTTACTGAAAAATTAAGAAACATAAAGGAGTATATGTGACTGATACTACATGCAATTTTATACTTTTGTAATTTATCATTTAAAAGAAAGCAAAGGTATGTGCTTTAATAAGTGCCATAAGTTAATTATTATTGTAGCAGCATGCCAATTGCAGGAGTGAATGGTTTGTGCACAAATAGCCTTTAGTTTAGGATGTTTGTCTGTAGCTTGTGACTGAGCTCAAAATGGGGCAGCTGGGTGGCACAGTGGATAGAGTGCTAGGCCAGGGGTCAGGAAGACTCATCTTCCTAAGTTCAAATCTGGCCTCAACTTTGTGGTCCTGGGCAAGTCACTTAATCCTATTGGCCTTAGTTTCCTCATCTGTAAAATGAGCTAGAGAAGGAAATGACAAACCACTCTAGTGTCTTTGCCAAGAAAATCCAGTGTCCTCATGAAGAGTCAGACACAGCTGAACGACAATGAAGAGTTTATAATGCTAGTGTTAAACTTTTATTGCAGATAGAAACCTATAAAGACTTCATTACTAAAATTAGTGTGTATAGCTTTTAAGTTTCACAAGGTAGTGTTCTCTTTTGGAGTTTGTCTTCAAAGGTAGACAGGCTCCAAGTCTTCAAGGAGAAAGTTAAGTTATGCAAGACCATTAGTACAATGTAGAACACAAGTTTCTCAGTTATTTGGGGCAATTTAGCCAGGGTCTGACCTCAGACAGTAAATCTTCTATTTAACTCTGATTGCTTTCAAATCAAACTTTCTGTCCAGTTCCCATGACCAGCATTTGCATAGTGGTGAGAAGTAAGGACTCTTTTATTTAACTTCTGTATCATGTGAGTTATGGTATTAGCTGTATGAATACAGAAGTTCTAGGATTGGCAGAAAAGAATATGAACACTGAAACATTTAGCTAATACAAATGAAAAGCATTGTCAGAAACCAGCTTTATCACATGTTTAAAGCTTTTATCCCAAGGAAAGCCAAAGCATATTTTATAATCTTATTTTAGTGTGTGCATATATGTACAATATGCATATATAATATATATGTATATATATATTCCTAAAGGTTTCTAATATAAAAAAGGCAATTCTGTGATACCAAGATTGATATGAAATACTAATTACTTCTTCCGTGCTTCAGAGATGTGTAATTTCATCAATGTGGGTACTTGCACTACTGATGCAGATGACAATCAATCAATAAATCAATTAATAAACATTTATTATGCACCTGCTATGTGCCATGTACTGTGCTAAGTTCTAGGGATACAAAAAGAGGTAAAAATAGTTCCTACATTCAAGAGCTTACAGTCTATTTGGGGAGACAACATGCAGACAAATATACAAAGCAAGCTATATACAAGAGAAATCGGAAATAATTAACGGAGGGAAGGCACTAGAATTAAAAGGGGTTAGGAAAGGCTTCCTCTAAAAGGTAGGATTTTAGTTGGGACTTGCATGAAGCCCAGGAGGTCAGTAGTCAGAGCAGAGGAGGGAGAGCATTCTAGGCAAGGGCAATAGCCAGAGACATTGCTCAGAGCTGAAAGATAGAGTGTCTTGTTGGTGAAACAGCCAGCAGATCGGTTTAGCTGTATTTAAGAGTATACACTGGGGAGTAAACTGTAAGAATATTGGAAAGGTAGGCAGAGGCTAGGTTATGAAGGGCTTTCAGTGCCAAACAGAGCATTTTGTGTTTGATTCTGGAGACAATAAGGAGCTAATGGAATCTGTTGGGGAAGGAT